GTTTTCAGTGAACCACACTTTTAACAGACGGCTGACTAAAAGGACGGTGGTGGCTGACCGGAGAGACCGATTGTCCTCTGATTGAAAGGTAAGCGGTTTGATCCACTGACCCCACAGGAAAAGTGCCGAAGCTGTCTCGGACAAGATTCTGAACCTTAAAGTATAAATGGTCAAACTCTCTGTCAGTTATTGTTGTTCACCAACATAAATGTGTATAATGTTTTTGCCCAGATGTATTTGTTAATGAAAATGTCAGAAAGCAACCATTGGCTTTTCCCCTTTAATTGAGTGACTTATGGTGTCAAACTTTTCAAAATGACCATCTAATCAACTTTTGCAAACACAAAGATAAGTATCTCTGTCAGTTTTACAGATATTGTGCAGAAATATTGTGTAGATGTAGCTGAGAGCCAGTCCCAACAGGTATTTTTGAATATTTCTTATGCTGCACCGTCTGCACTGTAACTGCTCAGTCTATAACTTTGCATATTTTTCTCATTCTTTTTTTTTTTTAGTTCTGAGCATGCGCTGAGGCCGATCACAGGACACACAGCAGCATTTAAAGCAGATGGCAGCTGTTAACCAACTTCCGCAAACAATTAAGAAGCATATTTACCTAATTTATTCACTGACAACGCAAAAACAACAACAACAAAAATCTGGTAAATTTAACTCACTCAACCTGGAGGCAAGTGGAGAAAATTTAGAAAGTCTGCAAACATGTATTGACGAAGTTTTTACGTTTTTTGTCATGGGATCGAAGAAATCAGCAGTTGAGACGGAAACACCTGGGACCAAGAGGAGCCGTCCCCAGGACTCGCCTGAGGCCTCATCTCCCCGTAAGGATGTCCTAGATTTACTAGAATCCATAGATAAACGGCTTCTGGGATTTGAGGGGCGACTCCACCTGCTTGAGATTCTTCACAAAGAATTCCAGAACCTCCGACAATCTCTGGAATTCAGCCAAGAGCAGGTGGAGCGGCTCGCTGCTGAGAACGCGTCTCTGCTGGAATCGGTTTCCTCCTTGACTGAAGGATTTGATCTTCCAGGACAACACATTTTTTTATTTCTTACAACTAATTTGATTTGTGTATTTAAATTGTGGCTTTAAAATCCCCTGTTTTATGCTGTCACGTTGATTTGAAGGTTTTTGCTTTTCTTGCTCCTGGAAAGCGCGTTGGATTACCTGGGTGTATGAAACATGCTTTACAGATAAAGCTCCTCTGCCTTGCCTAATATGACCAAACTTTGCCACCAACCATTGGCGACTGGAGTCGATCATGTTAGCAAATATCTCTGCTTGAATCTCTGAACTCAATCATGCCTGTCTGTTAGAAAAAAATTGTTAAAAAAAAACTTCTAGATTATAATCATTATATGTGTATCTATAACTCATTAACTCTGTAGTCAGCTTCTGTGAAGACAGCTGCTGCAACTAACTGATCTTGACTAACAGAAATAGCAGGAAAGCAGTGGGTTTAACAGACACCGTGTGACAGCTTCATGCAGTAAATGCTGCGAGTGACTCATAACGCTTCTGAGCACCAGCATCTTACAATTTCACCTGGAATAGAGATTTGTCCAAATGAACTAAAACAACATAATTTCTCAACATTATAGAATAGTGGTTTTAAACATTTAACAGCATGCGTTTGTTCTAATAATACCAGGCTTTTCATTTTTATGCGTCTTCTAGGTTTGAGTTGATGTGTATTAAATCTTTTATCTAAGTTTGCTCCGTGCTTTTAAGTTAAGACGACTAAAGTAACTTTAATTAAATAACGCGGCCTCCATCAATTAGCATAATACTTAACAAGCATGCAGAATGTATAAGTGGAGTACCTACGTTTTTGTTAATTGTCCATTTCTTAATTCACATTCTAGAAAAGGGAGAACATCACATCCTGAGTTGTTCAGAGGACACAAAAATATTTTCTGTACAACTTTCAAACACACTGGTTGGTTTTATTGTTCACAACAAAGTCTGAAGCAGGTGCCAAATCTAAAAAAACACATTCATCTGACTTTACCTTTGCTCATCTGACTATTGCCTCTAAAGTAAGAAAACATTGAAAGAGGTTATCAAACATATTTCTTCTTTAAGCCACCAGAAAGTCTTAAAACAGAAGGAACAGTTCTAAGAATCAGATGTCTGTTTAGAGAGGTGGCTTCAGGTTTCAGTTTGGGTCATTAAAGTGCTCCACTTATCCTGAAGTACATCGCCATGGCAACTTGTGCGAATGTGCTCCAGACCAGGGTTTATGTCCAAGATGAGAGATCTAAAAGCCTGAAAGCACCACCTATTGACAATTCGATTCTTTTGTAGGATTTCCTTGAGGTTTCAGTGACTCTCTGAATCCTTTAGTTTTCCCTGAAGAGCATTTAAACACACACACACACACACACACACACACACACACACACACACACACACACACACACACACACACACACACACACACACACACACACACACACACACACACACACACACACACACACACACACACACACACACACACACACACACAAGAAGGAAAGCAGCTGAAAACTCACCTGTTCAAGCTGGTTTTGGTGTGACCTTCATCACTCTCTCTTTATTCTGCTCTCCCCACCTATTCCACCTTCCTCAGGATCCACTGAGTTCCCTCTTTCCTATTCACTCTCTCTCTGTCTTTACATTTTAATCACAATTGTCTATTTTTTGCTCATTTGAAATATATTTTTTAACCATTTTCTAAATTCTTTTTTACATTTTACATGTTTTGTTTTTGTGAAGCGCCTCGTGATTTTTATCTTGAGAGGCGCTATGGAAAAGATCTTCTTCTTTTTCTTCTTCCCGCTATATGTGCCTGATGAGCTGCTGCACATGTGATTCAGCCACTGAATCTAGTGTGTTGGACTAGAGAAACCACTAAAACCTGCTGGATATGACCCTGCTATAGACCACAGGACTATTATAACTTAAGAAACAAAAGCACAACATGTCGCATTCAAACAATAAAATATAGCAAACACCAGTTCAATTAAGTAAAGCACAACTTTCAGAGACTGGTTTAAACCGACTGATGTTTCTACTCTGAAGTGTACCTGAGAGGTCCGAGTAGAGTAGGACTTTCTCTCCCGTTTCTTCAGAAACCCATTGGTGTCTATGGGAACGTTCTCACAGTCTATTGATGTTGTTAACGTCATGAAGTGACCATAAGGAGACCACAAATCTTCTCTGATTATTCCAGATTGAACTGTATGTTTTAATGCATCAGTTCCACATTATTAAAAGTATGAAAATGAACAATAAACGTGACACAAATCCAGACAGAAGGTGAGAGATGGTGCTAGGAATTCAAACAAACATGAGCCAAGGTCTTATTGTGCTTAGACAGAATACTGTCCTCGCCCCACAAATCGTGTCAGAAATGCTGCTGAGATGAAAGTCGAGTCAAAAAGAAAACAGGAAAAACCAAAGGATGATGTGATAAGCTGCATTTCCACGTTTAATCCAATAGACAACGGTGGTGACAGGAAGTGTCACAGTATGAGAAACTAATTAGAGTTTCAGCTGTGTGTCACCAGACTACTCAACAGAATTTACTGACGCGCTGCTGAATTGTTTTGTCGAGTAATAACCTAGTCTTATAGGTAACTTGGGTTTTTTTAGGTCCCCAGCTGTCCTGTCTTGTCTTCTTTGTCACGTCTGAAGTGAAACCAGAACTCCTCAGCTCTGATCTGTTTTAGGTCCTAAACCAGAGTCAAGCCAGAACACAATCGGTTTCTTTTTATGTGTCATCCGTGACAACATTTCAAACACCCAGCAACAAACAAAAAACATATTATCAACGTGTTTTATTTATCTTCAGTCTTCCCACACTTGCACTCTGGGCCTTTCTGAAATGTAACCCTGTGAGGAAAACATGGTGAGTCGCCCATCAGCCCTCTTTGTGTTGTTTGCTTAAGGTTGGTTTATGCTTGATGCGTCCACGAGGTCCGTACGGCTCCGCGCGGCGAAATTGCATCATTTTAACAACCACGCGCCTCCGCACGGCCCAAAATTTCCGCAACGCGCACCTAGGAAAATTTCTAACCACGCGGACGGTCGGGCGCGGAAAAACATGGCAGACCGGCAAGAACTAGTATGGCAGAGGTTCGTAAATATAGACATTTGTATGATTCAGCTCTCAGATATCACCGTGATCAACATGTTGTTAATAATTCTTGAGAGAGAAATAGCTCGCACTGTCGGAAAAGATGAGGACACTGTTAAAAATGCTGAAATGCCGTGTTGTAAACAGTAATTTCTACTTCTACTATGGTGTAGTGTTGGATGCATGCCGTAGAGCAGGGGTCCCCAAAACTTTTCAGTCCGTGACGCATAAATTAACAGTTTCAAAGTCTCGCGACCCCCTGGAGATGAGTGAAATAATTAAACACACACGTGGAACTTAATCTTTAATAAGTGTACTCAAATAGACAGGTTTAGAACCCTCAACAGGTAAATACGGCACAAATTTACATTTGTAAACTGTAAAAGGCGACTCTGAAAACATTCTTGCTGTTGTGTGCGCAAACTTTAATATGTTACAATCCTTTGCAGTTTTTGTATAAGAACAAGGCAGTCGGTTAGCTTTTTGGTTAATTTTCAGCTTCTAAAGTGACAGCAACTCAGTGCCACAGCAATCTCCACACTTTCTCCCTCATTTTACTCTCTCCCGTCCCCGTCCCTGCACACGCTCACACATAAGCATTGCCATGGCAACAAATGGACATGCATCTCTGCCTCCCTTGAGTAAACATTTCCAGAACATATTAAAACAAAACTCCTAAACGGGTTACAAATGTATGCAACAAATGCAACTCTTGATGAAATCTTACAAAATGGTAACAGAAAAGTGCTTTCATTTCAATGTAGCAAAAAAAAAAAAATAAATAAATAAATAAAAACTCATGCAAAGTCACAAACGATGTAATACAGAGGAACTTTGTTTCCGTACTTATTCGCATTTTCAAAATGTATGAGATGGGTGGGCAATATGCTTGGAGCCGAGCAAGTCCATTCTGGGTTTAATTTTAGGCATGGCCACTCGAAGATCATCCTGCACGTTAAGACGAGATCTGTATTTATTTTTAATATATGTGAGGGTTGAGAAAGTCTTTTCACACAGGTATGTGGAGCCAAACGGCATCAGAATGTCAATTGCAGCCTTAGAAAGCTGTGGATATTCTCTCTCAACTGAAATCCAGAACTCAGCGGCAAGCATCTTTGAGTTAAAAGCACTCTTTAAGGTGCGGTCGCTTGACAGTTCAACCAGTGCGTCCTCATTGTCGGATGACAAATGATGTGTGCTTGTTACGGTGAATGGGGATCTTATCCAGTCATATTTTTCTGGAGCTTTTTCCTCAGCAAAAAACTTGATAAAGTGTTCCAAGAGGGTTTGAAGGTGCATGGTGATAAACCCCTTAACGGTGTTAACACACAAATCATTTTCCTCCATGAACTCCTCCAGTTCAGGAAACATGTCAAAACAGCCCGTTTTTACTCGTGCAGCCCACCGATCCAGTTTCCTTTTGAATGCATTGATTTTGTCATTCAGTGACACGATGTTTGCGTTTTCAACTTGTACTGATGTGTTTAACCCGTTCAGCTTGTCAAATATGCAGGCCAAGTGTGCTAGCCTTTGTTAACCAGTCAGGATCAGTCAGATGGGCAGCAACGTGAGATCCGTGCTCCAACAAAAATAGGTGCACCTCGTCCCGCAGCTCAAACAAGCGCCTGAGAACGTTTCCCCGTGACAGCCACCTGACTTCTGTGTGGAAAAGCAGACGTTGATGCTCTGATCCCATTTCGTTGCAGAGAGCAGCAAACAGTCTTGTGTTCAGAGGACGGGATTTTATGTGGTTGACAATTTATTGTTGCACTCTCAAGCACCGTTTTAAGCTCTGGGTCTAGCGATTTACTCTCCAGAACTTCTCTGTGGATAATGCAGTGCGTAGAGTTTATGTGTGGGGCCACTTGTACAACTCTTGCTTTAAGTCCTTTATTTTTCCCCAGCATTGCTGCAGCACCATCTGTGCACACACTGATGCATTCATCCCAAGACAGCCCCTCCTCTTTCAGTTTTTTTTTTATCAATTTCTGTGAAAATGTCCTCACCTGTGCACTTTGCTGACAGTGTGGTGCAAAACAGCATGTCTTCGTGAAGTTTTCCATCAAAACTGTATCTGACAAAAACGAGCAGCTGTGCAGAGTTTGCGACATCTATGGATTCCTCTAACTGCAACGCGTCTTTTCCTCTCTTGACTCTGTCAATCAAATGAGACTTGATGTCCTGCGCCATCTCAGTGCGCCGGGATATAGTCCCATCAGACAGCGGGACCGCTTTCAGCTCCTGGGCTTGTTTATCTCCATGCATTATTTGGCTCATTGCGATGGCAGCAGGTTTTATTAGGATCTCTCCGATTGTGTGCGTTTTTTTTTTTTTTTTTGCCTGTGCAATTAAATATGCCACCTCATATGATGCCTTTTGAGCTTTTGTAGAGATTGTTTTCTGGTTGGTCATGACTTTCTTTGGCTTTGAAATGCTCTCTCTTTTCGACGGAAGACGTCTGCTGGTTTAGCTGCAAATGAGGAGTGCTTCGTTTTCAAATGTCGGAGCATTTTTGCAGGCTTAAAGCTCTCATTTGCAAAGCAACTCAGTGCAAAATACACATTGGGGGTATTGTATTTCGTTTAAAACAGTGCACGTAAATCCATACTGGATATAGTCCTCTCGATACCTGCGAAATTTAGGCGAAGGCTGATTCAGCTGTGCCTTACACCGCAGCTGCTGCTGCATGATCAGTTGGCTTCTGTTTGTTGTCTCTGATATGTGTTAACCAGCGCTTCATATTGCATACAAACCATATTACCGTAAAACTTTGGAATATTTGAGTTGCTCAGAAGAAACGTGTTTACAGCGGCGCTGCAAAGTTACCCGTGGTCGCAAATTGAGCTGCCTTAAGAGCCTTGTTTTGCGACCCAACAGGGGCGTATTGCGACCCCCGGGGGGGTCGCGACCCCGGAAATGGGAACCCCTGCGTAGAGCTCCATGCTGCCCCGTTCCGTTTGGGAGAATATTGGCTCACCGCAGAGACGAGCCGCACGAACCATAAACGCTGCAAGTTGTGAAGCGCGTTCCATCCGCGAGCCGCATCACCAAGCGGAAAGTGAATGCGTCAAGCATAAACCAAGCTTTACTGAGAGAGGAACATGTGGTCGTGATCCTCTTGAGTCCACTTTGAAGATGTCACGATTTAGTTCAACTGTGGAGTGAAATATCAGAAAGTGTCCAGGGTTTCTTTAACATGCGAACTGGCCGGCTGACAGACAGGCAGATGTTCAACCTGAGTGTGCAATCTTCCTTTGTGAGGGAGGGACTGCTGCGTTTGGTTGCTTTTTAAACAGCCACAGTGTGATGGAGATTAGGAGCAAGCTGTGCAAGCGTTGTTCAGTGGGCAGAGCAGGCC